CTACTGTGATTGTAGTTGTTAAATAAAAATGTCATTCATATCAATTCATGCATCACCTAATTTCATCGTAACATATAGGCCTGGCCTACAGAAAAGAACATTTATGTTTAATCTATGTAATATTGTGTTGGTCATACTATACAATGATTTATAGCTTGTCTTTGTTGAATAATACAGAACATAAAGAGCTTTAAAAAATAATTGCATATTAAATCGCAATCGCAATATTGGTAAAAAAAATAATAAAAATCGCAATTAGATTATTTTCCAAAATCGTTCAGCCCTAATCCGTATCCTGTCTCATGTAATCGCTCAATCAGTGTTTCAGCTGCGCAAATACGTCAATATAAAGTCTTGTAAACAATGTCACGTAACGTCACATTTACCTCAGAAAAACATATTCGGTGACCATAAACTCATTAGTCAGATAGAAAAATAAATTGTAGAGAGGGGCATTTTGCTAAATATATGCACCATATAACAGATTCATTATAAATTTTACTGTTCTTCAATGTTTAATTTATGTTTGAATAAATCCATCATTTTATGACAGCCACCATTATGTTTATATTTAAAAAATTGTAAAAAAATTGAAGTAGAAATATTATGTAATTGTAACTTTATTATTTGAAAAACTTAATTAAGTGAAATTTTAACAAATCAGTTCATTTTAACCTTCAATATTATAATAATGTAGTACCAACTGACTCCCATGTATATTTTACAGCATTAGTTGAGAGATTTTTTTTCCTTGAGAAAATTTGGCATGTATATATCCAAAATAATCGATATTGAATCGAATCGAATCGGTAATCGAATCAAATCGTGAAATTTGTGTCAAAACCCAGCCCTAGTATATAGCTGCCTTGATATTTTAGGAAGCTATTTTGGGGTCCTTGGCATTAAAGGTTTTAAAACCCCTGCCCTAAACTATATAATGATATTTACAGAAGTCAAAGCACAACATCTGATACTGGCACAGTGTAATTCATCGCGGTGGGTGGACATTCAGAAACAGCACTGTTACTGCACCAGCACTAAAAGCAAGACTGGATTATTCTGTCTTATCCCTGAGCTAATTTTATCCTTTGATTTAGCACTGGCAGTCAACAACTACTGTAAGTTAATGGCACTGAAAGAGGGGTTCAATGGGTGTGGGTGAGTTGTTAATCCCTCCGTCTCTCTGTTGTCTGTTTAAACAGCACAACAACACAACAAAAAACATAATTGCTGCTGTTGCTTAAAATCTATCTAAAAAGTCTAAAAACATGTCTTATTTGCATGAAATAAGACATGTTTGACTACTGATGAAACAAAGAGCACTGACAAAGCAAATACAGAGCAACTTGACAAAGCTCTTATAATGCACATCAATCCTATGTGGACATACTTTACATTTCATTGACATTTAATGTTGTAGAATAATGGACCAATTTTGTCCTTCTAAAAGAAAATTACACCATGAAGCCTCACTAAACAATCATCTATATTCCACTGCTTCTTAAAAACATAAGACATAAAATGTGCCACAACTTTATTACTATTTACAACAGCGACATTTCTACTCTGACATTAATCCATCTCATTTTCTTTTTGCATTAAAATTGATTATTTTTTTTATTTATATATATATATATATATATATATAGTTCATTTCCATCATTTAATATATGTGATAATCCTTTTTTTGCTTTTATTCATGAGTCGTTAATTCAGTGTTAGAAATGTCGATACTAATTACCAATATACTTTATTTTTGTATCTGACAGTGCGGTGACCCATATAGAGAGACGGGCAAGAAAAAATACATAATGTGAGAACATAAAAGCAGGACATTGCACCAAAACACAAATGAGATGAATACATAACGTTACATATAAACACACTCCCTTCACGTTTTCCTCCTAAATTACTCAAGAACTAGTGATTCAGTACTGGAGGCCTGACAGCAGGGTGGGGACATATAACAAGTTATGAACAATAACCATTTATGAGAACAGAGACAACTTATATAATTATTTTTAAAAAAGTGTAACTTACAAATTTAGGTTTCTTTTCTCCGTCCTCAGCGCCTGAACTGCCCTGAGATAATACTCCGACTCCAAATCCTTTCTTTCGATGTATTTTATTCTCCCTCCCTTGATTCGAGCTTTCATATCGCTGATGGCGGTAGTGATCCATGTCCAGGTGAAGATATAAAACTATTTCTACAACGTTTCCGGGTTTAACGCGGATCTAAAGGCTCATGTTATCCCTAAAGGTGACCGTTGACTGAGACGCGCTCGGATTAAGTTGACGTTCGCGAGCGAACATGCACGAGACGTGCTGGTTGAGAGTTGACAGTAGTTGTTGTCTAATAAGGCGGTAATCCAAGTGCCAGTTCTTTAGATCTCACTAACACACCTTTTCAAACCCCTAGACTGACGAAAATGTTTAAAATACACTCCGGTGCGACAAAATAGACGATTTCCAAAAGTTGATAGGTTGTCCAGGTTAGTAAAAGAGGAGAGCTGAAATGGTATGTTATCACGAATGTCCAACAATCTGAAACTCCCGCCTCGGAAACAGCCACTGAAATGCTTTGGATTGAGCAACACGTGATGTTTTAGCTTCCGCATTCGGTCACATGGTTAACATCCTCGCTTGTCCATATAGAACTTTTTTATGTTATGTATATTATAATAAGGTTGTTTACAATATTAAATACTTCTGTATATGTTACTTTTATATTATAATAATTCGATTTTTTTTCATGAAATTCCACAGACCTAAATTAACACTAAAATGTCTTTACATGTCAAAAATATAAGAACAAAATGTTAACAAGTTTCCCACTCATGGTGTGACAATGAAGTTGCAGCAGTGAAAAGTGGACTGTCTGGCTTTTAGCTCATATAATGCAGCTTTCACTGCATTCTTGAAATGCACTTGGCAAGACTTTTTAATGAGAGAAGAAAAATGCTATTCATAAAGCTTTGTACCCAACCACACCTCTTAAAAACTCTGCAGTATACTAAAAAAAAGGCACTTCCTGTCCAGTTCCCATTACATCAGTGGTTACCAACCTTTTTCACTTCAAATCCCCCTACTGTCAAAGAAAACTTTTATTTCCAGAAACTAGGAGTGGTGATATATTTGAATAATTAGAAATTAATTTATATAATTATTAATTATTTCAGTTACTGTTCTTCAGGGTTTACAGTTTTTACTAATTAATTTGTACAACTTTTCTTTTAATTTCTGCATTGTTTTTGATATTTTTGATCTTTCATTCAAAAAATTCACAAAATTCTAACCTTTCATTGAAGTAAAAAAGAAAAAGTGGGGCACCCCTATGAAATTGTCCAGTCATGACTCCCTGTTCCACAGAATTATAAATATGAGGAACACAAAGGCCAAATTCCCTTAATCATCCATCACAAGGAGTAAAACCAAAGAATATCGTCATGATGTGCAGAACAAGATTGTTGAGATTCACAAAATAGAAAGTGGCTGAAAGAAAAGAGCTAAAGCATTGAAAATCCCCATTTCCACCATCAGGGCAACAAGTACGAAGTTCCAATCAACTAAACAGTGGTTATGGTGCTATTGCACGGTGAGGAGGAGAGTTTAAGTGGCCAAAGACTCTCCAAGGATCACAGTTGGTCAGGGAGCCTAACAAAAAATGATCAAACAGCCCCTACATCACCAAATGTTGTTCAGGAGGGTTGTCCAGCACATTCAGTTGTCAGACACGAGTGGAACTTCAAACGGGACTGGCTTCTATGGTCAGGTGAAACTAAAAAAATAGATTTTTGGCAGCAAACCCACCAGATGGGTTTGGTGCAAAGACGGATAAAAAGTATCCCATCCATGCCCACAGTTAAATATTTTGCTGGATGTTGTGGGCCTATATTGGACATCTTATTCAGATACATGGCATCATGGATTCTATCATATACTAACAGATAAAAAATCTAAACCTGACTGCCTCTGTTAGAAATCTTATAATGGGCCGTGGTTGGATCGGCCATCAGGACAATGATCCAAAACAAACATCAAAATCAACACAAAAATGTGTCACTGAGCACAAAATTAAGCTTCTGCCATGGCCGTCCCAGTTCCCTGACCTGAACCCTATAGAAAATATGGGGTGAACTGAAGAGAAGAAGCACCAACATGGAGGATCTGGAGAGACTCTGTATGAAGGAATGTTCTCTGATCTCTAGTCAGGTGTTCCCCAAACTCATCAGGCATTATAGGAGAAGACTCAGAACTGTTATCTTGGAAAAAGGACATTGCAGTAATTGGGTGCCAATAATTGTGGCCAACGTGAACTAGCGAAAAACATTTATTTAATAATGAGATTCTCCATTGTTTTACTTCAATGATAGGTTAGAATTTTGTGAATTTTTTGAATGAAAGACCAAAAGGATAGATGATGCAGATTTATTTTCACAGCCACCTTTGATCATATTTCCCAAGGGTGCCAATATTATTATTATACACTCTATATGTTTACATATATATCTTCATTGACCCATCATTGGGTAGATTTTGATGTTTGTTTTGGATCATTGTCCTGATCCAACCATAGGATTTCTAGCAGAGGCAGTCAGGTTTTGATTTGTTGGTATTTGATGATGCCATATGTCTGAACAAGATATCCAGAACCTCTGGCAGAAACATATCCACAACATTAAAGGTCCAACAGTATATTTAACCATGGGCATGGGGTATACTTTTTTCTCCCTGTGTATCCCTTTAAACCTTGGCATCTCATGAGTGCCAAAAAGCTCTTTTTTTTTAGTTTCATCTGACCAGGGAAACCGGTCCCATTTGAACTTTCAGTAGCGTCTGGCAACTAAATATGCTGGAGTTCATTTTGAAAGAGAGGTTTTCTGACCCAAAGTCTCTCAACTAATTTCTGCAATTCTCCAGCTGTAATCCTTGGAGAGTCTTTGGCACTCAAAGACACTGATATAGACACTCATCTATATCAGGCAGATTTGTAACATCTTCAGTTGATTGAAACATCTTTGATTATTGCTCTGATGGTGGAAATGGGAATTTTTAACGCTTTAGCTATTTCTTAAAGCCACTTTGTATTTTGTGAAGCTCAACAATCTTTTGCTGCACATCAGAACTAAATTCTTTGTTTTTACTCATTGTGATTGATGATTAAGTCAAATTTGACCTTTGTATTACCTCACATTTTACTCCTGAAAAACAGGAAGTCATGGCTGGACAGTTCCACCCTGGTGTGCTAAAAAAAAAAGGGGGGAAAAAGGGAATATACTTCAGATATTTTATTCATTCATTTGTAGGGGTGCTTATAATTGCAGCCAATATGTATTGGAGAAATACATTTATTTCATAATGAGATTTTCCCTCCACTTTCAGTTGTTTTTCTTCAATGAAAGGTTAGATTTTTGTTAATTTTTGAATGAAAGATCAAAAGGATAAACAATGCAGACAGTTTCACAGCCTTCTTTGCTCATATTTATCAAGGGGGCTTATAATTCTCATCTCAACTGTATGTCCACCATATGATAATAAATGTAACATGCAGTCTATTGCATTGATCCCCAAATAAAATATCCTTTAGGTCAAGATACCTAATGGAAAAAAACAACAACAAGACAGCACTCCCATGAACAGCACATTTATTCACCATTCAGCAGATAGCTTCCTATCTCTGTACAAGCAATATAGATTCTGTTAGCATATACTCTTTCTATAGTACAATAATCATTTACACAAATATACACAATTTAAAATATAAACTTATTCCAAAGTACAACATATACTGTTTTTTTCTGTATTTTTTTTTTATTTCACAACATAGCATTTCATTGAGGCAGTCCACACAATTTATTTTCTAAAGAGGGTGAAGAGCACAGGCAACAGTAAGCGGGCTCAATCAGCACAAACCAAAATGAAGACATGGAAGAGGATTTCTTGAGCACGATCTACAGTACAGCTGGGCTAGATAAAACTCTTTGGATCATGCACTATCAGGCCTTTCTCGATGCATTGACCGTGATTGTCAGTTTTTGAAGTTCATTGCTTTGTTACGGTAATGTATGTTCCTCTTAAGTAACACCATGTTGTTATTGTATGTTTGTATGGCACATTTAAAACCGTCCAAATCATGTGCACTTGAATGTGTCCATTGTGCAAAACAAGTTTTTCCTCCACACCGAACCCAAGTGCATAATGTAGTGATCAAATAAAAGTGTGAGCGCACTGTCATTCGAACACACTCGCACTCACACTGTAAAACGACATGCTCGTACGCATGCATGTTAACATTTCTGCTTCTCTCTCTCTTGCTTTCACTTACTCATATGGAAGTTGGTTTCTGCCACAAAAAAAAAAAAAGTAATTGCATATTTTTATCTCAAATATCTCACAATTCTGACTTTTCCCTCATAATTCTGAGTATACTCCTTGCCATTTTTTTTCTTCCATGTAATAAAAAAAAAGATAATTGAGACTTTCTTAGAATTGCAATTTTATTTAAAAACAAAAAAAAAGTTAATTGCAACTCACAATTGAAACCTTTTTCTTGCAGTTGCAAGTTTCTCACAATTTTGACTTACCTTCTTTATATCGAACAATTCTTTCGTTTTTTTTCAAAATCCTGAGTTTATATCTTGCAATTCTGTTTTTTTTTTTGTTTCTATCATGAAATAAAAATAATAAAGTTAACATCTTGCAATTCTGATTTTTTTTTCCCTCAGAATTGTGAGTTTATATCTCTTATATATGAGTTTATATATAGAAAAAAACTCTGAATTGTGAGTCATTGAATTGTGAGATAAAAAGTTCGCAATTACCTTTTTTAATTTTATTATTCCACGGCAGAAATAAGTTTTCGTATTCTCATGCACACACACAGCCCAGCAAAATCATTCTACACCTGTGATATAATCTGCATATTAAAACTGGGTGATCGAGACTGTTTGGACAATGGGCTTCCAGAGGAGAACGGACTCCCGGGGGAGAGGAGATCCTGGCTCCGCGTCGTTCGCCCTAGACGTTCCTCTTGTAAGCTGATGGCTGACAGATAGTGTGCCCTGTCTGCACTGAGGCTTCCCAGCGATAGGCTATCTGTAGGTCCCGATGAGCCATTTAGGCCGGTACAGTCAAGAGACTTGCTAGAAAACGTGCTGCTGGTTTTAGGCGGCACACCAGCGAAGGGAGGGATGTAATGCGGATCCAGAAAGCGTCTGGGAGCACTGGGACTGGGGCTGCTTCCTGTGGTACGGAGGCTGATGGCCGGGGCAGGGGACTGGTGCCGTTGGTGAAGGCTTCGGAGGGCGACTCTGGTGTCGGCTGATGTGCTTTCCCTCTTCCTGGCTCCCGGATCTCGGGAAGGTCGAATGCCCGTTATGACCCAGTCACGTTTCACGCTGCTGGGCTGGCTGCTGCTGGAAGCCCCAGAGGAAAACCCTTCATCTGGGTCAAAAGAGTCCTCTCCACAGCTCATGCCGTCAGCATCTGAAACACAGCGAGGGAAAAATGAGGCAGAGAAAACAGAAAGCTGGATTAACTAGATTTGCATGTCCTAGAGG